CGAAGGGTATGCATCGAAAAATGAAAGAAAAAAAAAAGCGAAGGAGATAGAAACGAAGGGAGAAACAGGCAGGCACAAACACAAAAAAACCTCAATCGTGTTGTTGTAAATAGTAGAATAGAGCTCGATCTAAGGTAAACAAAAAATCGTTAAGGTTCTAAGGTTTTAATCGTGTAGGGTACGTACTTAAAAATTATTCGAGGACGAACATTTTTTCAATGGGCAGGCACGTATTTTTTAGGGTTAGCAATCGCGTGGGTGTTAAGACGAGCGTCGAGCTGTGGAAGTTGTAACCTTGTGTACGCGTTTTCTGATTCTAGTATTTTCTCTTTCTTTTTTTTTTTTTTTTTTCGTCACTTTGGATTCCTCATTCTCCCCTCGCTAATCTTCCATTCTCGAGCTAGACTGTAAGAAAGAAAAAAGAAGAAAAAACTGCTACATTCTCAGAAAACCCTTGACACCGAGAAAAAAAGCTCGCGCCCGTCTCGATGTTTCCTTTTTTGCGTTACGTGATTGCGTTCGTTCTCGCGCAGACGGGCGAAGCTCGTTTTTACTCTTTCTCTCTCTATACACGTACGTATATATACATATAAATTATACATATATATTAATAAAGGATTAAAAAAAAAATGAAAAAAATAGCTGGTACTTTAGTATATATAAATACTAGGCTCAACGATCCGGCACTTCTCGATTTAGGAAGACGATCTAGCCTCTTCGGACGCATCGCGCGAGGATATATTTTTTTTAAAACGAAATATCTCGACGGCATGGTTTTACTCGCAGAACTCTCGCTCGTTCGACTCACTTGTCTCTTTCTCGCGTTCGAATCATCGAATACGAGTCCCCGAATCATGTAGCAGACTCTGAAATACTTCGAACCGTGGAAACACCTTTTCGCTGGAACGGAACGCCTCTCGAATTTTTCTTACCAGGACGATCTATGTTTCTAGACGAGATTAGAACAAAGTCAAGTGCAAACGATGAATTCACGGAAAAAGGAAGGAATAAAGAAGAAAAATGAGAAGAAAAAAAAAAGACAAAATGCGAGTGCTCGATCGTTGATCGATTTATGATCGTCTATTTAATGTTCTGCGTGTCCCTTGTTCTTGGTGTCTTGTACTTGTAAATATATCCGTGATAAATAAACCTATGGAGTCCTGTCGTTTAAACAGCCGTCGATTAAAAGAAGAAAAAAGAAAAATTCCTCTGTGATAGCTTTAAAATAGAAACGATGCAAAACTATTAAATAAAATAAAAATCCTTTACTTAAATAAAAATCGTATTCGTATGTATCGACTCGAATTGTTAGAACACACAAACTCACAATTTTGCACAAGTAGTTTATTAACGGATCATGGAATGTTATGGGAATGATTGACGTCAGGACTTCTCGAACGTGGTTTGCAAGCAGGTTCGTGGGAAACGCGTGGCGAACCACGCTCGAAGGGTGAATCTTGACCTCTTCGTGGACTCGTGCGTTTAATTAACCCCCGATCAAAGCCACCGATTAGCGTGGCGTCTGTATATACAGTGAAATTTTGTCGGCGATACGTGTACGTAAAGCGATAAGCGTGTGAACTCTTTTAAAACTTTACAGGTACGTTTACGCGTAGAGGTTCTTTCATTCGTTTTATCCCCGTTAAATATTTTATTCTTATTAACGTCACGAGGAAACGTTTCTAAGAAAAATTATTTATTTCTGACACACGATTCTTCGTGTCACGGTTAATAATAGAGAATATTTAACGAGGTGAAAATAAATGTGACAGCCTGTACATGTACGAATATTCTACGGATATGTATATGTAACAAATTCTTTCGTGTCGATGCTATTACACACGTAGGATCGTTTCTATTAGCGGGTATATATGTGTACTTTTTTAGAGGCGAACAGGCGATCGTCCATTCGCGCTCGAACCACTCTAAATTCACGGCCAAAATAATGTTTAGGGATGCTCGTATGCCTTCTACACATACACCTGAACACACACGAACACTTGTAAGATTTATATATTAGCTGGGACGCATGGGGTGTCGATTAAATTGTCGCGACCCCTTTCCCATACGAAAAGAGGAAACAAGTAAAAGATAATAAAAATTCTTACAAAAATTGGCTCAAGAATATTTAAAAATTATTTATATTATATTACAGACCATCCACCTTTGTTCTTAAAAATCTAGCGAAAGAAATAGAATTATTCGACACATTTGAGACTTTTCTCTGAAACAATCGAGTTAATCTTTTCCGTTTTACGGAGTTTCCATTAACCGACGATGTCACCCCGTGTGCACAGCATTTAATGTACGTTTTCTCTTCCTCTTCCTAGCAATTTGCCCGAACTTTCGTACGAACGATGCTCGTGGAAAACGATCGAGAGCCTCGCGACTAAGCTCGCTGGGAGATCGTCGATCTATAAAATCGCGATAGTCTGTATCTATTAAGAAACGTCCGTCTGGCGATAAGGGCGGACCTTGTGTAATATATTATTACGTCGCAACGATAGGTGGCAAGAGTTAATATTTGTAGGTAAAAAGATAGGGAAACGAAGTAGAAAGGCTGATCTCCGCCGTGTAATTTTTGTATTTTCGGGAAAGCGAGGCCGACCGACCGCGTTAATAATGGTAATTGTAAAGACAGTACAATTTTGCATCGCTACTCGCAGCGTTTTATTAAATACGATTTAGTAGAGGTCAGCGATTACCGAATAATCTTTGTAATATAAAAGAAGAGCACGAGTGGGTGGAGAAATATGTCGCGGAGGTGTCGAGCGACGATTTCCTAGCTGGCTCGATTCTCGAAGAACGAGATCAGAGAGATATTTTTGAAAAAACTTTTCTCGGAAGAATATTTTGCACGAAATTCGATAGGAGTGGCGCGAAGAGAGCGGATTTTTCTCACGATAATAGAAGAATTCCCTGATGATAGAGAAAGGGAGAAAAATGTACAAGATCGGACCGAGAACGCGCTGTCTCGATCGAGTTTCCGCCTTGCATCGTCGATAAAGTTCGGGGGTGTTTTCTTCGATATGTTCTAGAAAACAAGTGATAAGATTTAAAGGCCGTCGTAACAGAGGCAATGTACTCAGTGTAAATAGGAAAGAAAAAAATGAAACTGTAAAGAAGTAACACGAATGCAGATAAGAAACAACAACTAAAATAACAATTACGTGTCTACGATGCCTATATCTGTTTAATCTACGTAAAACGAGATGGAAGCAATTAATTGCTGATCACTATTAAACTAATAACTAAACAACAGTTTATTCTATCTGTGTGTGTCGGTTTCGATTGGACATAGATTTTGTATCACCCTTTTCTCCGTGTATGGTGTGTAGCCAGGGGGTCGATTTCGGGGGGGATGCGGGTTAAAACGAAATTAATTTAATAAATATACCTATATATATAATTTAATAAATATAAAAAATAATGAGATCAAATTAAGGACAATGCTTATGGACAAATTTTATATTACAATCTATTACAATTTTTTACGTCGGAGAATAAATTTTTGTTTTTAATAGATCCATGTTTGACTTTGTACGTTCATCGTGAAAGAAACGATCGATGATCAACGATTGGCTACGAAAACAGTAAAATCCTATCCCGTTCCCATCGAAATCGACCTTCTGAATTGTAGATTCAATCGTGTCTTTCACAACTAAGTAGTCTTTGTAAATCGATTTCCGATAGACGAAGTCGCGTTTCTTCGAAACTAGCTCGTAACTTAAAACATACTGTAAGGAACCGACCATAATGGTATATCAGTATATCGATACACTGTTGCGTCGATCCTTTACAACGGAGAGAGGAGATTCGCACAGACTATTCGATGTACGCTTTCGATCAACGCGCGATCTTGATCGCAGTCGATATATTTCAAGATTTATCGTGCACATGTCGTAGATATGTCTACGCACCGGGTGCTTCGAGACCAGTTTTGAGAAATTATTGGAAATCAAAATTCGAAACGAATTACCATTACTGTTTCTTTCGCGTCAAAATCGAATTTCAACTGTTATCGAACGCTTTATCAATGAATTTTCACTCGAACTTATGCTTAAAGTTTAGTTAAATAAAAGATTCTCGACACATTCGTCCTTACGTTTCTTTCGCGCTTATGACAAATCTGGAATTGTTATCAAACGCTTTATCGACGAGTTTTCGTTTGAAAATTATGCTTGAAATTTAATAAAAATTCTGGACACGTTTCAAGTATGAATGTTTCTCGAATAACATTTTTGGAAAAGGAGAAAACAGAACGAAATTGGTCTTAAGCCCTTATTTTCTCTGGTAACTAGCTGTAAAAACTTCATCAATTATAATTAAGACCGCGTCGAGGATTTTTAACGAAGAATCTAAACAAAAGAGAGGAGTTTTTATTTGCATTTTTCTTTTTTCTTTAGATTCTTCGTTAAGAAGAGCGATCTATCGATATATGCACATTTATCGTCGTAGAGTGGATCTTCACGGAAAAAAGATCGTAGTCGATTCCAGCCTTTGTAATTCCAAGCGTTCTACTCTACAACTTTCGGCTAAATAATCAAATACCATGGGAAACTATGAATCAAAAGATGTGAAGAAGAGAAAGAAAAATACAGCACGTAAACACACGGATAAACGAACGAAGGAACATGCGTCGTGCATGAATGCACGCGCGTGCACACACATACAGACACACACACACACACTAGTATATTCACAGCGAAAGGAAAAAAAGACAAAAATTCAAAGGCGAGGCGATTAAACTTTCCCGATGAAATTTTTCGATCGCTCGATAATTTGCATTCGCGCGTCGTATAATTTTTCGCGACAACGTAGGATCGATTGTGTAAATTAAGTTTATAAGATTCTCTCCGACTGGTAGCATAAGAAACGATCGATTGCAGCGAGAAATCGGAAATAATCCACTTTCGAAAATCTAACAACTAAAATTTTCATTTTCATCGAGATTATTTGTTTGCAATAGTTTCTATCAAAATTGGAATGAACGTGTGGAGAATTATTAGATATAATTTGGTTTCTCGTTGCATGCGACTATAAGAAAGAAATTCTAGTTCATACGCATAATAAAATAGCAACGTTTTGTATAGTGCGAGCACGTTTTTCGGACTCGAAAGTTTAATCGAAACCATTTTTTCGAAACTCCACGTCTCAGCCTTCGGACGATCGACAGAACGACGAATTCTAAGGACAAACAAAATAAAATAAAAGGAAAAACATGGAAAATCTGAAAAAAAAATACCAGAGCATTGAAGACTGGCAATCAAAACTAACGTAGGCAGATTTAAAACGCAGATTTATTCTGGTGTCTAGCACGATCGTGCGCGGCCTTGCCAGCACGCAAACGACTCGAATACAGAAATTATTTTCGATATGTCGTGTGTTTGATGTCGAAGGAGATCGTTCTGTTTGCCTTATCTAAATTTATCGACAATGCAGAGCAAAGATCGTTCCTGGATATCTTTGATTAAGAAAACAGAAAAGGAGAGAAAAAAAAACAAAATTAAAGAACATTGATGAGATGCCAAAAAAAAAGAAAAGAAAAAAAATTGATTGAAGCAGGAATTGTGTAAAAATAATACGCAAATAATATCCTTGGAATATTTCGAAATATGTATTTGATTCGAGTGTGTGACGACGATCGTACTAAGCAAGAATAAATCGGCGAAGGAAACTAAATGCAATTCTATGCAACTCTCCTTTAAAACAAAAAGTAAACAAATAAAAAGAAATAGATCGTACAGTTTTGCGAGTAAAATGCGCGTCTAATGTAACGCTAGTGAGTAGATAGGTAGGTACCTGCATTTCATGAAATTTAACATGCTTAAATAGATCCTTAATAAATCGTTATACATGTTTTGATAAATCGTCGTCCTTTTTTTTTCTAATACCTTCAAAGATACTGACCACCGTTTGTACTCCGTGATTCGGAGGCAATTCCATCCAAATTTTACTTACACCTATCTTTGTCCTACTACCAAAATACTATAAAAAATATATTCATTTGAATAAAGAAATTATTGGCAGCGCGACAGAGTATATGAATACAAATTACCTGCTATTCTTACAACATCAATCCTTTGTTTCTCGGAACGCTCTTATCTAAATTAATTTCGTATCTCTGTGAAGGTCGCTATCAAAATATCAAATTCGTAAAAAGATATCTTCATTTTAAAATACAGAACCATCGACAATGCAGCAGAATGCACTATTCAGAAATATAGAAAAAGAAAAATGCAAAAATGACGCGGCGATATCCCTTGCAATAAAAACGCTGCAGTCATCGTGTCTCGAACTCGCATTTGAACAGTTCGTTTCCTTTGTGACAAAAACCTCGTGACACGATACCAGACGACGGGGAATTCTTTTTCTGTTTGAAGAAGAACGTCTCGAAGGCGGAAAAAGCGCGAGTACCGACGACCAAGTCTTGGCTTTTGCAAGTGGCGAGTTGAAGGAGGTCTCCGAGTCGAGCAATCGGCGCGCACGACACCGATTGGCAGTTGGGACATTGACGATAAATGGCAGACCGGCTAGCGGAGAAATTACAGCCAGGGAGATTCTAATCAGGCTGTCGGACGCCATAAGTTACGCTGTTAAGGAGTCACAGATAACAGCCGAGAAAATAATAAGACCTAATGAAACTGTTTGCAAGGCTGATTAATGATAAAGGGAAGCGAGTCTTAGATTACACGTGGGCAGGCCTCTGGGCTTTTTCCTTTCTCTCTTTACAGCTAATATCATTACCCACTGGACATCCACATGGTTTCTTCTCCAGCTTTCCGTCCTTTTTGCACGCTGTCTGGCTGGCTCGCTGAAAAAGGTAACGGATTTTGCCCGATCGTCGAGATTTATCGATCGGACTCGCCGATACACGAATTAACTGTACGCGGGATCTATCGAGTGGAGAACCGATCGTTCGAGGTAAGTTTCGATGTATAAGCGAAGATAACGAGAAATAATTGACGATGTGGCGATATATGCGCAATATCTTTCCGCACTTTGCTATTGAGTCTGTTTTTTAACGTGTCGACTCTATATTTGTATCTGTTATTATCTGCAATCGTCAAAACGAGAATGGTAACGGTGTGAATCAAGATCTTGAGAATTGAAATTCAATCACGTAAATCCGATAACATTTAAACGTATGAACGCTGCTTTAGTTTCGTAAGTGCTTAAGTTATAATCTTAGAACTGCGGATATTTGTGCAGTTGATAAGCGTAAATATTCGAAAACGTGCAAGAACAGAGAAAAGACAGACAGATGTTCCATTCCACGTAAAACATTGTTCCGCGATACTAACCCAACTTCGACTCCCACCTAATACGAAAAACTGTGTCCAGAAGAAGAAATTAAGACTCGAATTTCAGGCCGGTGACCTCGTTTCCCTCTCTCTAACGTTTCTGTTCTCGTCGAAAAGAGTACCGTTTCAAAATTGCGGCGCACAGTGACCGAAAGCGGAAACCAGGGTCGCGTTTGGCCCGGTGGTCCGACCTGAAATCGACGTGATCGGCATATCGACGACTACGACGACGAGGACGATGACGACGATGATACATATAAGCAATGTTTACAGGCGGTACACGATAAGAAACGACGTTCGTGTCGCGCGAAAGAGAAGAACCTCGAAGCCGGCTTTCTTCGAGTTTCTTCAGTCTTCCTCTGGCTCTCTTTCGATTACGTGCTCACCAGTTTTTAACTGCCGCGTATGCCCGTCGAATCGCGTGCTACGAAGTTCTTAATCTATCGCTTTCATCGAACGTGCTCGCCCGTTTCTAACTATAGAAACTAATATCGTTGGAAAATATTATCGACTAGTCGTTAAGTGCGCTGATGCGATAACGAGTTGCGAGTTGCTCGTTTGACTTGTTCCAGGCGAGAAAATACGATCTTTGTTAACTGTTATCTGTTTTTGGAAGAGCACGGAACAGCCAAGGATTTCTTATAATTATCGGATAATTTGTTCGTAGGTGTGCTACGTAATTATACAGTGAAAAAGGTATATTTAATTAAATCATGAACGGTTATAGTTCATTCTTAACGATAAGTTTGTCTTTAAGAAAGTAAAGCTCGTGATATTTTTCAAGTCACTACCTTATTAATAGGAACATGAAGATAGCTTTAGTTACGTGTCAAGCACGAGTCTAGTAAAATACAACGTCGAGGAAAAATTTGTGTAAAACCTAAGAATTTTGCGATCGCGAAGAAAAGCAATTAAGAAAAGATTCCATTGCCCAAAACTAAACTCTTTTATTAAAAATCTTGCAAGAAATTCGCTCGACGTCGAACATCGATCCGAAACCAATGACGTAATAATATAGAGATATTAGAACGCACTTTTCTACTCAACTACAGTGTTTCCAAGCGACTGTGACAAAAACATACGTAATGTTCCACCGATAAAGACGCGAAACGAACGAAATGATGTCAGCGATTTGCAGATATAGCGAAAGAGCGGCGGCTTAAGTGAGATTTAGCCTCAACGTGCGAGCAAAGTGTCGCGAAAACGAGTTTCGTTACGTCAGAATGTCGCATGAAAATTCCATCGTGTCATCTCTGGTATTTGGTCGATCGAACGTCGTCATGGAACAGTAGGACAGTGAAAAAGAGACACGGAAAACGGCTAGAGGATCGATTTCCTTGTTTCAGCCTGTCTATTTCGGTCTCGACCAGGGAAACGACACTCGGCCAGGTTGTTCGCAGCGTTAACGACGCCAGTTTTCACGCGTTTCGTCGCTTCATTGACAAAACGAGTTTCCGCGGGACGCACGCTGACGCAAGTGACTGTTTACGATCAACACGTGCTGCGCAAGAATGAAATGCACGGACCTCTGTTGCCAGTTATATGTCGAACGCTTCGCGATCCGTTCGTCCTCGCATTCTCCGTCACTCGAAGGGCGCGAAATCCATTTTGAATCGATGATCCAACAAGTGTGTTTATGCATCGATCAGTTGTGAATCAAACCTCGCGAGTTTGAGCTCCAAAGTGTGGTTCGAAAGTTGTGCGAAAATTTGTCGCGGAGATTCTTTGCGCAAAGAAGATCATCGCGGTGAATTGAAAGCGTACTGCCTCGAAATTCGAAGGAAGTTAGTAAATTTCTTTGAATCGACGACCCAAGAAATTTTCGTAAATCGATCAATCGTAATCGAAAAGTTAATGAATTTGAAAAAGTGATTCGACTAGTTGGAGATCTCGTTGTTCGCGTATACAGAATTATATTCCTCAGTTTGAATAGCACCGTATAGCGTTGAAATTCGGAGAGAACGATACATTAAGTTTCTTTGTATCCACGATCGAAGAAGCGTAGAAACTTTATCTTCGTCGATCGATATCGCTTGTGAAAGTGCTTCGCTTGTTAAAAGTTTATGATTTCGTATATGTAATCTCTGTGTATGGTATATGTATAAAATTACATACTGCAAATCGCGATATATATTGCGCTTCAAAATTCCGAACATATCAAGAAAGACTGAACGTATCAAAAGTGAAAATTAAAAGATCGAACGTTTAAGATTCTTCGTGTACGTAAGTGCGATACAAAACTACGTATTTCGAACGTTGGTGTATTGTTTAGAAGTTCGAAGAGAATTGTTAACATTTTGAAACTCGTACGAGCGGAATCTTTGCCCCGAATCACGCGAGTACAAAGTCGAATCTCTCTGTTCCCCGCCATAACGAAATCTAGACAAAGGTGAAGAAATTCTTCCTGGAAAGTGGATCGTGCAAGTGGAGAACGTCGTAAATCTTGGTATATCCTCTAGGAGGAGCGATGGAGGAACCGGAAAGACCAGTCGCGAACGGCGTGACAGGAAGGATCGCGTGGATCTTTGTTTTCGCGAAGCTCGATAAACTACGAGTACTGTCGTTGGAGGGGGGGAAGGCGGTGAAACGCTGACGACAGTGATGTAACGGTGGAAAATAAAGCGGTGACTCGCGTGGATATTGGTACCGTGTGCTGGCGCACGCGTAAACACGTGGAAGCGGACTTTCCTCGAATTTCGGTGGCAGTTTTTCAAATACGCCGATCCGGTGACCAACTCTTTCTCTTATCGTGATCCACGAGTCGAATTTTAATCATTGTTCGAGAAGATAGCCGTTTCGCGCCAATATTTGAATTTATATTTAACGAACCGCGAGACTTCTTTGTTTAACAAGATTCGGTATGGTTATCGGCTCGGTTATGATCGCGAATTATCGTATTATCGACGTTTTACGAACGTTAAAGTGCAACGATCGGCGAGCCTTGAATTTTTACTCGAAAACGTCGCCACTCCGTGGCCATATTTGAAATAGAATTTGAATTTCAAATAATACGATATATTCTTCAAATCGATTCGATATGTTAATATCAGTTTGTGTGGTACATTAAGAATCTATGTGATCGTGAATCTGCGATCCTATAGATCGTCGTCTCGTTCATATTTTACAGAAAAATAAACAGCGAAGTGTGACGATCGACGAGCTTCGAATTTTATTTGCCGTACAAAATTGTCGAAACTTCGCGCCTATATTTCAACTTGAATTTCAAATATCGCGATGCTTCTTTCAACTCGATCTCCTGCATCGACGTACTCTACATTTGTGTAGCAACAAACGATTGTATATTAAGATTCTTCGTGATCGTGAAACTATCCTTTAATCTCGTGGATCGACGAACGAGCGGTGAAATGCAACGATCGACGTGTTCGAGACGCGCGAACCATCCGTCGAGACCATATTAAAAAACATTCTTGTGTAACACGTCAGATTCTATTTTCGACTTGGCCAACCTCTTGACACTCGTTAGAGGTTCCACGTTCTCGTATCGAGAGGTCAAAACTGGAGCTGTTATCGCTCAACTGTACAACCACGCTGGTCCATAATTGGCGCCAAAAAGCATATCGAAACCAGGAGAAAAGTCGAGGAAACGGAATATTCACAGCGATCAACGACTCGTGACGAATTTACGTGTTTCCGCGATTTAGAGAAGTTACGCTTCCGAAAAGAGAAATCACCGAGCGAATGAACGAATCGCCGACTCGAAACCGATTTTTATCAAGAAAAGTCTAGTTTTCCGTTCGACTCACCGACTTTGTCGATCCCGGAGAGACGTTGCACGACGAAACTTTATATTTCCACGAGTTGCACAGCTGACACGGTAATCTATATTATCGAAGTATTACTGTCAGCCCATCCGTTCTTTTCCATTGCTACGGCTTCCTCAGTTTCATGCGGTCGTTTCATCGTGGTTCTCTGCTTCTTTCCGTCTCAATTCTTCGCCTGCAAGATCGTTGGAAAATCGTTAGATATTATGGATTCGAGGAGGAAGATGGGAAAACGAGAAAATTTCCAACTGGCTGATAAGATCGACGAATGAAGACACGAAGAAGCGCGAAGGAGAAAAGATTGATCGTTGATTCGTTCGAAATCGTTGGGTATAGCGTTATGAACTGTAAGAGGAAGATGACGAAAGAAGAAAAGTTGGAAGAGATGGATAAAAGCGATAGAAGAAAATCTCGAAAAACGTGAAGAAAGAGAGATTCGTTTGAGAACGTTAGATATTTTATTACGAACTCGAAGCGGAAGATGGAGAAACGAGAAAACTTCAAAGAGACCGACGAAACGGACGATTGAGACTTAAGAAAAATCTGAAGAAGAATACGATGATACGATTCTTCGGAAGGTAATTCGCTTAAGATTCACCGAATGGTTAACAGGGGCGATTGAACTTTCAATGGACCAGCTGGCTTAAATACCAACGCGATAATAAACGACAACTTTCTCGAAGCAGGTTTCAGCGCAACGATGACGAACAGAAGAGTTGATTGTGCGACGAAAATTCAGAAAGGCGACCGGTGCGTCAGGATATTGTCAACCGATGCGTAGCTCGGTTCTTTCGCTGTTTGGCAGATCGGAAGAACCATGGGCAATGGATCGTCCTGCTGTCCGCATCGCAAGAAGGTGAGTTCTTTCCGATTCTTAAATATTTTTATCGTTTTTCGTGTTTGTCCTATTGGTTTGTAAGGTAAATTCGTCCGGTTTTTTAATTTCTCAATATTTATATTATAACTCAATATTTGTGGAAATTTTCAAATATTAATCGTGATTCTCGCACGTGTAAGAATTCGATCGTGAAATAGTTGTTAAGAAGATCTAAGAGACATGTTTTGAATTTTCGAATCTTTAGTGCATAATACAAGTTGGTACGAGGACAGAAGATATCGTAAGTTCGGTGCGTGACCATTCTGCAAGATGGCAGCACGCTTCGATTATGATAATAACGAGACGCTTCTTTAGACGATAAAAATGGAATTTTATTAGAATTAGCTAGAGGAGTTTGAAACGTGAAAGCGTAATTACAAAAAAAAAGGAATATCGCTATTTATTTATCAGAAATTAAATCCCATATTTCTGAAACATTTAGAGACAACTAGACAGACACAAAAAAAAAAGATGCAAAAGGGGGTTCCATCGTGTAAAATATCGAAAAGTAGCGCTCTATCTAAGCTGAACATTCCTCGCTTCATCCAACAGCCTACGCTATTACAAATCCTACGTTATTAACAAAATCGTATTTTTTACTCCTACGATATGATCGATAGAATCGACACGTATCAGTTCTTCGATCATTTTTTAATTAATGCTAAACGTTTAAAAGAAAGTATCAAAACATAATACGAGGATACAGGGCCACACACGCGCACGCTATATTACGAAATATTTCTCTAGACGGAATATGTATTCCTAATGTGAACTCTATTTCCAAACACTCTACACTCGCTCGTTAAAATCTTACCACACCCAGAATACGATCAATAAGATCGATACGTGTTCAATACTCTCCCCTTTCATATCTTCTTAAATAACACCAAACAGTCGAAGGAATCTCTCACAGAACCTGTTACCAATCGATTGCACAAGCGACAGAGCGGCATCGTTAGATCCTAACGAGTCGCGTTGCGAAAAAACCATCGCGGCTAAGCGACGATATCCACGGGAAAAACGGCTGGACGGGGGTGTGCACGGGTGAAAGGGGGCTGCCCGTCAGCTGATAGATATCGAACAGATTCGCAATTGTGCAATTGTGCCACACGGAACGGGCACGCGGCCTTCGAGTCGAGAATAACTCGACTGCGAGTTATTTTCTGAAACCAATCTTGTCGTTGATATACGACTGAAAAAAACCGATTACGATCGGTCAAGCAGTCTGCTGCGATCGTCCGCGAGTCTATTCTTTTTAGTTGCATACGTGCATCGTATTTGTCTGAGATTCGAAGCGTTCGAATTTCGAGAGAAACGTGAGAATAAAGTTAGAAGGATTTTTCGAATGTTCTTTCCTTCCTTCGGATGATAAAACGAAGCAAAGTGTCCTTTTTCATGGTGTAGTTTAGAGCGACGAAGCTTTCTACAGGTTATTTTTATCGCCTTAGGTTTAGGAATATTAGAAAATTCATAATTACAATATATTATATTCATGAAAATTAAGAAGATACGTTTTTCGATAATGTAACTCGATGGAGAATTTTTACGAAGGTTTCTTTAGATTGTATGATAATTTTGGGGGAATTATTGGAGAAATTTGTAGTTAATACTACACTGTGCTCGCTTTAGATTTTTATTAAGACGTAAGATAATAGGAAGAATTATACCTAAACGTAAATCATCCACTTTTCCTACGGAGGGTTAATACGAACGATAATTATAAGTTATTTATTGAATGTTTATAGAGATAGATACATTCGAAGCAAAAATGATTGAAAATTAAAAATCGTATAAGACAAGCGTATTGACATAATGGACAAGAAAATCCGAGGAATTCTGTAATATTTAACAAATTACGTATTTCGAGTTTCCCGACGCAAAAAGTGACGTAAATTACAAGTAAGAGAATCGTAACGGTAATCGTAAGCGTTGTCGGTCTGCTTTTTACAACGTTCATCATAATTTGTTCGTTGCTCGGGTAGCACGACTTCAAGTTGCATTGCAAATTACATGTTCGAACATACCGATAAATTTTTTGAAGAGATACCCGATAATTAACGGAAGATTACATCGTTCATTCGGAGTCAGTAATTTAATATAGACAGTCGCATTGATATATAACGATTTTCAGCTTGTGCGATCAGTGAAACCAAAATTAAACCCTCGAAAATTAATATTTATTACTACGTGCGGCGAATTAATAATGTTTAACACGAACCAACCTTTAAATTATGCAAATTGCATGACAAACTACGACTGTACCACCGAAATTGAAACAACAAAATGTTAATTCGTGCTTTAACTGTCGTAAAACAACGAATCAGTATTATTACGGAAAACGAAAGATGAAAAAAATCGAAGCTCATAGGAAAAATAATCCGACAAATAAATTTTTCTTCATTTTCTTATTTCCACTTTTGACTAAAAATTAATATCTTAATATAACATAGCTGAGAATGAAAGGAATCTGTCAAGATCGAACACGATGCCTTTCGAATTTGGCTGATAAATTGACAAAGTTTTGTAAAAAAATTATTAAGGAATAGAATTTTTATATCTTTAATATTCTAATGTTATGACAAACAATTTTGGTAACGTACGATTTATCGACAACGTACTGAATCTAAAAGCTGTTCTCTTATAAAAAATGAGAAATGTATTTTTTCGTATCCTTCTCCTGCTCACTTCAGTCATAAACCAACGGAATAACGCAAGAATTCGCAATTAATTATTAATACCCGAAATTTTGTCCTTCGGTTAACTCAATCGTGTAGACCAAAATATTTGCCCGTCTGTTTTTTCTACGTCCCTCGCATTTGCACATACATATATTCGATCTCACTATAGATTCCACGGAATTGTATGTATAATTAATTATCACAATTAACATCAAATTTCGTTCAAGTTGTCTGAAGATCGTTTACGTTATTCCATGCGAAAATAGTAGACTTTTTACTTGTTTTGTTTTGTTTGTCGAAAGGCAGAAATTAACGCAATCCTGGCGAATAATTGCATCGTGAATTCCTTAAGACTGATTTACTAAATAATTGCTCCTTAAAGAATCTAATAATTTCTCCAGCGTTTACGAGCTTTCAAGATGTTTAGTTTTTATCCAAGGATATGAGATAATACCACGCTATGCCCAGATTGTAATCGAACGAAATTTCGCTAATTTATCACCAACGATATATCAAAGATTGGTGCCGGTCTTATAGAAAAAGCTGCGTATTTTGCCTTGCAATTAACCCAACTCCGTCTCTACTAATTCTCCACCGAGTCTGGGGAGAACACCGTAAATTTTCTTTCAAATATCCGTAAGAACTTTCAGTGTTCCATGGCTGATGTCTTTACGACTTCCAAAGAATCGTAAATCATTCGAGCTTGCGTTCTTGTCCTGGCAGCTTCCTCAACAAGATGTACTTTGTTTCTTTTTGCTCACTTCTCGTTTCATTATACGTTCTCAACAGTCAAGATAGGAAAGGAAAATCGTATACATTTTAACATTTTTGTTACGAAAAAGGAAATCGAACCATTTACTTACTGCCACTTACTATTAATTTCTCGGGTACCGTTTTATAACACATTCTGTAACGTAAGCAAATTGATAGTTTAGAGATTCTAATTCATTCTATTGACTAGCTAATATCTACTTCGATAAAACTAATATTAGGATATCGCTCTTTATTTCTCAATTAGTTGTTAAATAAGAACGGGAGTTTTTAAATAAAAAAAAAAAGAACGTTCCTTTCACCATTCTCTACCACACCCAATTTAAACCAGATACATATCGCTATCTTCCTTTCAAATCGAAGGAACGATCACAAGATGCTTGTAATTCTATTTTGTATCTTTTTAAAAAGATAGCCATTTTTTAAAATCAGATGTCAATAACCATAAGAACAAAATTAATAACGGTCAATTTGGCTGCCAAACGAAGGAAAACTTACACAATTTTAAATAATATCCTCGTTAACTCGTACTCCTGAAACGAGCTGTTTTTTAAAAGTAGCCCGCAGTTATCGCAAGAACTTAATTAATACGCGCGATATAGCCCACAAATAAAGAAAGAATTATGCTCTTTTGAAAAGTTAATTTATAAAAACTGTATAGACGATGGAAATGAATTCGAGAAAGCGGCGTCAAAGCGAAACCCGTTGTTCAGGTCAAGAACATATGAAGAAACGAAGTAATGAAAACGCCTGACGCGGTTTGCAAATTACGTTGATTATTTCGGTGCGTTTGTTAGGCGCGTAACGCGAGATCGGATAAAAAAGGCCGACGCGAAACACGACGGCGATCGCAGCAGTCGGCATAACCCAATTAAGGATGACACGGGTAATTACGAGGTATCAGGTGTTGCAGGAAAGCTGCGACTACTTTGTCACGGTGTTATCTGCTGTCTGCCGAGCGAGAACTCTCTCGTGAATCCTTTGTTGGGCTTCACGGGTCGGTGAACTAATGCAAAAACTTCGCGTTTCGCAACGACTAAGAATTTCTTACAATTTACGGGTTTAATTGAAGGTTTCGTGACGAAAATGGGGACACCACGCTATCGCTGGCTACCTTTGCAGCACACGTAAAAAGTTTCAAGCGGAGCGCAAGTGCCTTTATAAAAGAAAAACGATTTATGAAAGGGCGGAACTTGAGTGGTATATGCGATAACACTGTTAGGGCAAAATTCTTGAAAAATATTTGTGTGTTGAAGTTTGTTAGTAAAAAGAACTGCTGGTATTTTGCGTACATTTCATTAGGGTTGGTTATGACGTGCAATATTTCTGCAGCATCTGTTAAGATTCTCTTTAATCCACAAAATAAGGCCCAAAAAGCGAACGCATATTATTTAAAAAACATAAATACATCGACGCAACGTTGGTTCTGAATGGGTAAAAGATAAAATTTGATTCGACGATTCCTTGTGTCAACGATAACTAGAAAATGTTCCGTTAATATCTTGATCATAATATCTTGATAATCTTGAC